GCGAGAACGTGCCGTTAATCGGCATAATGCCGGTCTGTCGTATATGTTTATTCGTTAACTATACTCGATGTATTTTGATGTTGACCGTTTAACGATTCCCTTCATAGTAATCGAACTACTGAGAGACTAAACGAGGTTCGATTATTTCATTGATATGCCTATTATTTCTATAGACCCATAAATGCTTTAAGAAAAAGAGAGGATATTTAACAAAAAAGCTGATGTGTGTACTTATGTACGCACGTAAGAAGTTATACTACCGTACCAAAACGAATATAAACTCAAAAATAAGTACCAATTTGCCCGCGCATCGTAAATATCGGCAACTTCGTGGTGTCGATTTTTCGCTCGCATCTAACTTCACTTTCCAAAACGTGCTAAAAGAAGTATAACCTCAAAAAAAAAGAAGAAAATTAGGGAAAAATAAGTTCAATCGACCTTGAAGAATGAGTAAGAGTAAGAGATAGAGATAGAGAAATTTGCGGCACGAAGAGAACGAATACCAAGAAGGAAATTTCGACGAGAGAGAGAGGTATATAGATCTTTGGTTCGTCCCTGCGAGCGCAATCTTATCGTGCGTGGCGTTGGTCGGCTCAGATCGCCGAGGCTGCACGAATGCTCGCGAGTACATAAGAGAGAAGAGAAAAAAAAAGAGAAGGAAAGAAGAGAGAGAGAGAAGAACAAAAAGGGAAAAAAAAGAAAGAGAGAGAGAGAAAAGATGGAGTCAACGAACGATAAAAAAAAACGCTCAGCCACACGCGCGACACAAAGAATAAACTCTGCTCAGAGTGGTCTCCCCTCTCGGCCCCTCAACGACTTCTCCATCTTTCTCCCTCCGCGTTGTTACTGCACTTCGAAGGCGTGTGTGGGCGCTTTCCCTCCCTCCCCCTTTCGCCCCCACCTCCTCCTTCACCTCCTCGCTCTCTTCCTCTCGTTCTTCTTTCTTTCTTCTTTCTTTCTCTTTCTTTCTTTCTCTTTCTCTCTTTTATTCTTACTGGCTCGCTCACTCTCTGGCGTTCCTCCTTCCATCGCAACGACTAACTTCTTTTTCTCTTTTTCGCGATCTTCTTGGGGTAGGTCACGGCGAAACTGCTCGGAAGGGAGACAGGAAAAGAAAGAGTGGGAAAGTAAGCAAGAAAGCGAGAGAAAAAGCGAGAGAGAGAGAGAGAGAGAGACGAAGAAAGAAAAAGAAGAAGAAAGAGAACTGTAGCTGGCGGGGCTGCCACGTATCTGCGTGCCGTTCCGCTCGGAGCTGAGAGAGCTGAGCCTCTTTTCTTTACTTTCTTCGCCCTTTCCTTTCCTTCCCTTCCCTTCCCTTTTCTTCTTTTAAATTCGAACGAGTTTCGCTTTGTTTTCCAGGATTATTTTACGTTGCCTTCTTTGATTGCTATTTTATTAGAATTTCTTTAGTTACGTTAAAACCTATGTCGGATTTGTTTATCAAGTTATATGTTCGATCGACTGTTTAGAAGTCATTTACAGAGAAGGAAGATAAGAAGAATAAAAAGAAAGAAATACAGATAGACGTAAAGAGAGATAAAGAAAGAGAGAATTATTAGAAGTCAATTGAATATTTCGTTAGATTTATTCGTGGAAAGTTCTATCGTGATACAATCAAATCATGGTCCTCATTGTTGTATCATTATAGCGAGAAAAAGAAACTTTTCTCTTTTTCTTTCTTTCTTTCTTTCTCTCTCTCTCTCTTCTCTCTCGCTTAGTTTTGTCGATCGGAGTATTATTCGATCATTATCACCTTCAAATTTGAGCTCCAATAGGAACGATCGAATTATATTCGATTAACTCGTGTAGGTAAAAGGGAGCACCAGGAAAGGTTGCAAAGGTTGTCTTATCGTCGGTTATCATGCAATCTGAAAATCACAGAAAATTACAGAAAAGCCGCGAAGACGGGGCCCCGTGCGATTCGCCCGGGATGGAAGCGAGCAAGTTACTCTTGAGACGTCGTAATTTTATCTTCGTTTGTTGTAACGGCTACGAGGCACGGAACTCTTACTTATTCTTCTTTCATATCTCTATCTCTTTCTTATACTTTTTCTTTTACTTTTTTCTTTTTCTTCTTTTTCTTTTTCTTTTACTTTTTCTTTTTTGTTTTCTTTTACTTCCCATCAGTTGTTCAATCCCTTTCGCCGCACTTTTATCTTTTTGCCTTGCGGTTCGAAACTAAGAGGACCTTTTCCCCCTTTTGCATCCTTGCTAAAAGGGTTACTCCATTTCAAATAGAATGGAAAGAGAAAAGAGAATCGTGAAACAATGGCATGCGTGCAAGAACCGTTATTTAAATAGTAGGAAGGAACGATCTTTGGGGTTGAGTGTAAAAAACAAAAATCTTTTTTGGGGTTCGAACACGCGAGGAAAAGATGCAACATGATGATTTTCATTCGTAAGAATAACATATGTTCCCACAAATTTTTATATTGTTATCGGCATCGTTATTATATTAATATATATTTAAATATTAGCCATTCATAGGCCTAAGCCTATTTTTATTATTTTAGTCTTTAACACATTTAATTGATGCTTAACTTTTTATATTTACCATTAATATCATTAATATTAAGCTTATAACACCATTAAATGACCAAATTTTATATAGCTGTTGATCGATAAACGATATGACATTGCGTTTATTCATTTTCTTTACTTTTTGTTTTATGAAATTAATCAATTTTATTTAAATTAGGGGATCGTATGATTATCATACCCGATTTAAAAGAAAATATTTTACTCGTACGACAAAAAGATAGTACAAAATAATACAAGTATTTCAAGTTGATTTCTTTCAAGGCAAAAAGTAATCGGAGATTCCTTAAGTTGTTCCTTTTTTTTTGTTTTATCTTCCTCTCACCTTCTTCGTTTATCCTTCCCGTGAACGTTCCGGTTTTTCTGGCAGCTGTCACCGATCCGAGATCGGAGTCCCGAATCGGTGAAGACTGTATTGCTAGTCAGGGACGGTAACGGCGAACCGGTTTCTAGCAAGGGTTAAAAGAGGAACGTAAGCAAAAAATTCATTTGAATTATTGGGTACGGTTGCGAGGCGTTGAAGTAATTGGATTTTAATTTTTGGCGGTGACGCGCAAGCGGAAGAAAACGATCATAAGGGCGTTTGTCTCGTTCATGAGAACTAAACTGTCGAGTGTTTGCTTTAAAGTAGTCTTTTCACACCCCACTAACTCTTTCTCTCTCAGTCCACCACTCTCACGTAACACTAATTCTCTCTCTCACTTTCTCTCTCTCTCTCTTACGATGTGATCCAATGAATTTTTGAAGCATCGTTCTTTTCCAAATCTTCCGTCGGCATAGGTGTCGGCGTCTGAGCATCGTCTGCCCTGCCGAAAGGTGGGAGAGGACGTCTTCTCGAAAGATTAGTGGTGCGTGAGGAGGGTGCGAAATATTATGTCGCGTCCGTTCGTTTGATGTCCAAGGGGTCAGGGCTTGTACGCGCGTGGACGACAAAGCCGATTATAGATGGTCCACTTTTCCCCCGAAAAGCCCGAATCTTTAAACGTGGAGGCCAAAGGCTTAAGGACGTCGTAGTCAAGGTTCTCGCATGAGAGCCGACGAACCGACATTCTCTCTCTCTATCGTTCACCCAAAAAAGTTCACATTTTTCCGGCGAGTCTTTGGCGTACGTTTTTGATGCGAATGACGACGCGTCGTCCTAGTATCACTCGAGGAGTACAAAGAAACCAAATCTTTTAATTAAATCCCTCAGAAAGGTGAAAACTTCGCCATAGTGCCGACCGTTTTTGCAATTTCCTTACAAGTTTTCGCTCAGCGTGCGCCGTGTACGATGTGCTAGGTGGGCTTTTAAGGTGCCGAAAGAGAGAGATGTAGAGAGATGGGAGCTGAGTTTAAGAGAGTGGAGGAGAAAGAGAGAGAGAGAGGAATAAAACCGAGACCACCGGTATTTACCCTACCTACCCTTTCTCCATCTACTTCTCCAAGCCCATCCCTTTGAAAAATAAAAGACGCCGCAAAAACAAAAGACCGGGCGGCTACTTAACGAAACAAATTGTTGCTTCGTAGCGCGGACGAGAATTTAAAAGTTTTCCAACCGTTACCGTAGCACTCCTCCCACTTTTTACTTCCTACCTACAATGTACCTACTTCCTCCTTTTCTTCGTCAGTTCTTTTCTTTTTCTTTTTCATTTCTCTTTTCTTTTCCTCTCCTTTTATCTTTTTTTTTTTTCTTCTCTCTTTATTCTATCTTCCCCTCTCTTGTCCACTAGCCCCTTTATTTCCCATTAACAAACCCACCCCATTTTCATCGCAACGATATTTCGACGCGATTCAAGGCTCGTTAACGTCGCCTTATTTCTTCATTCTTCGACTTTCCTCGCGACTTTTCGATCGAAGACACCGTAAAAATGTATTAACAACTTTGACACCTTTCATATATATACTTGGCGTTTTTTTTTATTATTTTTATAAATCTCATTTTTTTTGCAAATATGTCAGATCGAACGAATCATTTGTTTTTCATTCGTTTATAAAACTAACACTTAATGTTAGATATGTAAATTCGAAGAGACAAGCATACAAAATACATCGAGAACATGCGGGCTAAGACGAAATGGGTTGTTTACGAAAATCTATTATAGAAAATAATAATTGTTGTTTGTGTTCGAACGATGTGCAAAAATAAACGAGCAAGCTCAAAAAAATAGGGAGGTGGCGGAGCGTGGTGTTGTGAATGGCAAAATAAAAGTGGACGGAATTGTCCAATTGGATCTTCGAGAAAACGTGCAAGAACGAATGTTTGTATATGTGTGTGTGTGTGTATGTATGAATTGTGGAAGAAAAACATGGATCTATGTACGTCGAATCGAAAATATAATAATTAAACAAGAGATATATATGTTATGCAATGTGTTTCGAAACAAAAATAGGAAAAGCGATAAAAATGAATGTATGCACGTAAGAGGGACTCGAAGAAGAATTATTTAAAAGGGGTTCGTGAACAGGCTGAGTGTTCAACTCACTCGCTGCAGGGTGGACCAGCATTCCTCGAGGGTGCGTTCGCTGATGTTGCCCATTCCTCCGCCTCCGCCAGCACCTCCCGCACCACCAAGCCCCGCCGCAGAGGCACGAGACTATCGGGCAAGACAGGAGGCTCGTATTAGTCCGGTTCCAATTCTTCATCAACTATTACCATTCTTTTAGAGTTAAACTCTAAGACAAGCGTTAAAGTAGCTTGTTCTACGGCTACCTCTTTATACGACTTATACGTATCAATGATACCTATTGAAGACTACAGCTTTCTAAATCTATTCTTTTCACACAACATTTCTTATAGAAACGATATCCGATGTTTGCATCCATACTGTATATATAAGAATATATTCACAAATATTATTGAAAATTATAAAGAAACGATGACGATTGTATTAAAGATATACGTTGATAAATAAGTAATAATAATATTAAAAATTATGGAAGATTATAACATAAAGTTGATAAGGATAAAACTAGAACAACAATAAATAGAAAAAAAATGAAAATTTTTGGTGGAATGGAAATTTTTTCGTAGTTGTCGTTATCGTCATCGTCATTGTCATCGTCATCGGTTGTCGTCGTCGTCGTCGTCGTAGTGGCGAAGAAGTGTATCGGTGTTGCATCGTGCCAGCGGAGAAACGCAGCACGATATTTTCTTGGGAACATCTTCTCGGTGTACCGTATGACGTATGCGTATGGTATTATCTGTGTTGCGCGGGTCAAGAACCCCGAGAGACGGCGTATCTGCATCCCCGCGTTGGTGTGCGTGGGCCGCGTTAGCATTTGCGGCATCGCGGCTTTCTATGTACGCGTATACGAGAGCTCCGACGCCCGTGCCTGCTCTCCCTCGTGGAGAGCACGTGTGTAAGTTTATATATATATATATATATACATAGTAACATATATATATATACATACATGTATACATACACGCAGAGATCGTGCGTGTTTCCGCGTGTCTTCGTTTGTGTTAGATGTAAACGTTGCCGTTCGCTGCGTGCTCAGCTTTACGCGATATCGTACTTCAGCTTATTTCGGTGTGTGTAAGTGTATATTTATGTGTGCGTATGCGTGTGCATGTGCGTGTCGGCCGCAGCATAAGTGTATCTCTGGTACAGTCGTGGTTTTTAACTGTCGTCAAAATTGCCAACGTTGTCTGGCTCGATTTACGAGACGAGATAATTGTTTACAGAACGTACATATCTCATTCTATTTGTTATTGTTTCTTTTCTTGTCACTTACAATGGGAGGAGGACAACAATGAATTAAATCTTACGAATAAAAACATATGTTACTCGTTGGAGTATATTAGAGACTCTCATTGTTAATTCGATTAGGAAGTAAGAGAAAAATAATATCGCTTTCGGTAGCGTCACGCGAATGTTAGAAAAAGAATCGTCTGTAATAAGATTTTAACGGTTTCGACACCGAGAAGTTAACGCGTCGGCCACGATCCGAACAAATATTTTTCTTCGGTCAGTTTGTGTGAAGAAGCTGCTTGAAAGTATTGTCCGATGTCGGTTTGCCTGAGTGAACGACCTTATTTATCGATGCGTTATGTATTTTTATCGCGGTCGCTTCGTCCCAGTTATTTATCTCTTCTCTCGGTGAGTATGGTCGAGGGAGGCTGACGTGATAGAGCGGATAAAAGAAAAAAACGAAAAAAAAAGAAAAAAAAGAAAAAAATAATAATAAAATACGTATCGTAAAGAAGAAGAAAAAAACAAACTAACAAGAGAAAAAAAGAAGATGTAATGCCGTTGCGAGGCAATGCGACCTTACGCGGAAAGATATTTGCGTTTATATGCAAATTTCTTTCGTTTAAAAATATACGCATTGTTTTCTCACCTGTAACTCGTTGACAAGCTTCTCCGTGAGCGTAGCATCGTGGGAGTCTTGGCTGGCTGCGCCAGGACTGAGCATCGAGTTTTGCGAATTTTGTTGTTGATTACCCGACATGTTCATACCAGCTAACGCACCATTTTGCCCGATTGTACCGGCCATATTAAGCGCCTGTTGTTGCAAATTTTGCGTCAAGTTTTGCGCTTGTTGTTGAAGATTTTGCGACAGATTCTGTGCCTGCTGCTGAAGCGCCTGTTGTTGACTCAGACTGAGATTTTGCGTCAAATTTTGCGCCTGCTGTTGCAACGTTTGCGATAGATTTTGTGCCTGACTTTGAATATTCTGTAGACTTTGATTAGCTTGACTTAGATTCTGCGGTTGGTTCAGCAACTGTTGTTGTTGCTGCGGCGACAGATTCGGTGTCAAACTTTGGGCCAAATTGTGTTGCAACGTTTGACCGAGGTTTTGTTGCATGTTCTGAGTAAGCGCCTGCGTCAATGCTTGTCCTAGGTTTTGACTAAGAGCTTGGGCAGCTTGAACTCCCAGCGATGGACTTGACGTTTGGGACATACTTTGTTGGGTCTGTGCCGCCAGCGTGTGAAGACTTTGGGCCATGCTTGACGCAATGGCACCTTGGTGATCCGCATGAGGCGATGGTGTCGTAGGTGCCGGCGATGATTGATGTTGCGCACCCTGAGCAGTTTGCTGATTCATTGACATCGCATGTTGTTGCTGTTGCTGCTGCTGCTGCTGTTGTTGCAGTTGCTGCTGCGGACTTGTTGTTTGTCCTAAGCCAGAATTGGCATTCTGCTGCACCTGAGACACCGCAGCTTGCTGTTGTTGTTGCTGCTGCTGCTGGCCAAGTGGGCTATGCATCTGCGAAACTTGCTGATGCTGTTGCTGTTGCGTAGAATTCGATATCGGACTATGCTGTATCCCCGGCGAATGCTGAGGCGGGCCTCTTTGCGGCTGCTGCCAATAATCAGACATCTTGAAGACGTGCTGTCGCAGAGCGTGCAAATTGGCGGCCGCCGCTGTGACGGCCGAGGCCTGGACTTCCATGGATTCGTGTTCGTTTTCGAGATCGGATTCTGGTGAGCTGCAAGGATCCTCGTCCTCCTCCTCGTCTTCTCTCTCGGTTATATCCTCGTCTTCCTCGTCTTTTATCCTAGCGGCTCTATCTTGCTCGGCTGATGTTGGTAGTCCTCCAGCAACACCAGCAACACCACCACCGTCGCCAGCACCTCCTCCAGCGTCACCTCCTCCTCCAGCGTTTCCTCCGCCTGCACCGCCAACACCTCCGCCTCCTCCCCCTCCGCCTCCTCCGCCAGCACCACCTATCCCACCCCCCGAATCGCCAGGGTGGAGATGATTCCCCGGGTGGTGTTGATGATGATGATGGTGGTGGTGATGGGGGTGATGTTGTTGTGGCTGTTGTTGAAGGAGAGGATGGTGAGGACGGTTGTCTTGGTTTTGAGTTTGTTGCTGCTGCTGTTGTTGGTGCTGTTGCTGTTGCTGCTGCTGATGCTGCTGTTGTTGCTGCTGCTGCTGCTGCTGCGGCGGTGGCGGTTGTTGTTGCTGCTGCTGCTGCTGAGGATGTTGCTGCGGCTGTTGCTGTGACTGTAACTGTTGTTGTGCCTGATGATGGTGATGGTGCTGCTGTTGCTGCTGATGCTGGTGGTGATGTTGTTGCTGCTGCTGTTGGTGGTCCAAGCCAAATTCCGATTGGGCTTGCGTCTGGGCGCGTAGGTCCAGGGCCGCCGTCGCGTCCGAAATCTTGAGGCCTTCGCGAGAAGCCCGGGCTACCCCCTTCCGGCGCAGCTTGCCCGCTTTTTCGCACCCCTTGAGGTAAGCAGCTCGACGGCCGGCACTCCTCCGCGCTTGGCGCCGTTCCTTGCCTCGCTCGCGGTACGCTCGCGGTACGCTCGAGGCTAGTTCCTTCTCTCCCTCGTTATCGCTTCGGCTCTTCGCTTTGCCTCCGCCACCTCCTTCAGCCCAGGATCGTCCTCGTAAGAACGATAACGATCCTCGGCTTTTCGGGGTTCGACGTGGGCGGCGGGCAACGTCAGTTACTCGCCACCTGCTGCGACTTCCCGAGCCCGTTAGTGGCCGCTGCTGCGCTCATGTAATCCGCTCCGCTCTTTCCCTTGACTTCTCTTCTTCTTCCTCTTTTTCTGCTACCTATTCTTATTCCGATGGCGATCGTTTTCCTCGAGCGGCCCTTATTCGCGATTATCTCGATTTCGGTTCTACAATCTTCTTCTTTGCTTCCCTTCGTCTTCTTCTTCTTCTTCTTCTTTTTCTTCTTATTCTTATTCTTATTCTGTTGCTGCTTCTTCTCAATTCTCTCGTAGCCGTGATACGAATTCGCTCCAGTCACTTCGCGAATTAGATCTGATTCGCCGATACGTATTTACGTTGATATTATACTTTTACTTTCTCGTCTCGACAGATGCCCGTCTGTCGGTTCGCTTGATCTCTCTTTTCTTCTTTTACTTTTTGTCTGTTTTGACGTTGTGCGTAGGAGGGTGTCGTGTTCTCCCGTGTTCGTGTGGTAATTTTTTTTTATGTTAGTGTGTGTGTTTCTGTTGTGTATGTATTACTTTTATCTGTCTGTCTCTCTTTTAACTTCTTTGATGCGCGCGCGAATGGATGTACTCCAAGTAAGGAGAACAGCCTAGTTTTTCTTTTGTCTATCTAACTTAAAATCTAGCGTACACTTAAGTTCAGGTTAAAATTCAGGATTGCCCAGCCCGGACGGTGTAAGCGAGGAAGTATAGTCCACGCTTTTACGCGATCAGGATTCGGTCGAAGGTTTCTCCGCTTTTAATTCTTTACACCGGTGTGTAAGAAATCACACTGATGGATAAAGTCACTGCTCGTCCCGTTTTGCCCTGAGTATTAGCCCCGTTAAATGTTTGATGTGTGTGTGTGTGTGTGTGCGTGTATAATTTTTCGTATGAGTCTTTTTTTAAGTTGTAACCGGGACGAGAGGGAAACTTTGTCCTCCTTGTTGATTTCCGTCACTCCGTGTTTCTGTGCGTTTCTCTGAGTGCACTATCTTCAAATTCTTCTTTTTTTTTTTTTTGTTTTCTCCTCTTTACTTTTGTTTTTATCTTTTTATTTATTTAAAAGCGCTTTCCGCCGCTTTTCGTTATTCGGTTGTGTGCGGTCGAAACTTTCGAGCCTCTTCCTCTTTTGCCAGTTTGGCTCGCGCGCGTCGACGACTCCTCCTCGAAATGCGACTCTAGCGTTTCTCTTTAACTCTTTAAAAGGAATTCTATTTCGATAATCGATTAACCGCTCGTCGTTACCGATATCGTCGATAGTAGTTGTGGTTGCTTCTTATTATCGTTTAGGTTTAATTAATATTGCACTTAGGTACACTCGTTTTTTGAACACACTGAAATATATATGTATGCGGCGCGGGGTTTTATATTGGAGCTTCCTGTCGATATCTTTCCACGTTCTTTCTTCCGTAATCTTCTATCTCTCTCTCTCTCTCTCTCTTCCTCTTTCTCTTTCTCTTTCTCCCGCTGTTTCTATATCGTTCTTCTCGATTCTTTCGACACCTTCTTCTTCTTCTTCTTTTATCTCTGTATGTTCTTCAAATTTCTCTCCTTCTCTCTCTCTTTCTCTCTCTCTTTATTTCGATATTCGTTGCCGATCACTACAACTCCAAACCCCGCTTATTATAATCGCTCCACTTCTCTTTTGCTCTTCTTCTTTTTCCGCACTCGCACTCCTCTGCTTCTTCCGCTTTGCTCGTCCTATTCTGCTTCTTCCGCTTTGTCCAGTCTTCCTCTCCTGCGCGGGAATTTCTCGCAGTAACGCGTCTCCCGCTCGAAGCTGCAAATCATAAGAAAGAGAAACGTCATTCGTTTTTATCGGCTTATCGACGATGTATCTTATACACGTATTTAATAAATAAATCAATCAATCAATAGGCGCGTTGCATGCGAATCGTATATTCTCCTTATCAAGCATAACTAACGAACAACTAACTCTTCCGTTATTTATTTATTTCGAATATCCTACGAAAAATAACTATCAATTCGCGTTAATTATCAAGGATCAAAAGATTTCTTTGAAAAAGTGCTAACGAAAAATGTCAATGATCACTCGCGTTATCTCGAACGACGCTCTTTCACTGTATCTATTAAAATAGATGTAGCTCGATTCGACGATAAAATGCCTAAATTATACACAAGCCGCCGAGAATAGATAGGTATACACTTATTCATGTTCATCCCTTTTCATGGAAAAATAAAATTATACGAATAATTTGCAAGAATGTTTTTCTATCTGCTTTCTTTCTCGATGGGAACCGAAGGAAAGAGAGAGAGAGAGAGAGAGAGAGAGAGAGAGAGAGAGAGAAAAAGAGAAGGAACAACAACAACAATAACAACAACAACAAGAGAACAACAATACGACGTTACTTACATAAAATCAACTCGTAGGATTAAGGAGATAATAATTAAAAGCTAACGGGGGATGAACATGTGGAACGATAATGCAAATGTTTCGTTCGTTTTTAAAACTAATTTCAAATGACTTACGTCGCATTTATTCTCACCGGCAAGTGTATACACGATCACTGATCTGTCACCGATTAATAACCTATTTAGTATAAGATTATTTTTGTGAGCACGTATATACGTCGCGTCACTCGTAACGACGAACTTCCACGATTTTAACGGGATTTCGAAAACAAAAAAATCCAAAATACGAAAACAAATATCTTAATAAAAGCCGATACACCAAGATCCGACGACCATCATTGCACTTTCGACACTAGGATTATCCTACGTGAAAAAGGATCAGTTTCTTGTTGACGGAGGAAAGGACGACGCACAGCAAACACATTTTCTTTCGATCTAAAGTCATAATTTTGTTGAATATTAATTGCACGTCGCTTTTCACGAAACTTTTATTAATGGACAAACCGTCACGCAATTTACTAACGTTTCATTGAAGGTGTTTAAACTAAACACTTGAAAATTATTTCCAATTGAGAAACCCCTCTTATGGATTCGTGACAGGAGACACGCGAAAGATTGAAATGTTACACAGAAATTTTTGTCGAAAATTTAGTCGAAAATTTTGTCGAAAAACTTTTACTCGAGATCGTTTTTATCTTTAACGAAGCGTAAGAATTTTTCTAGAAATGTTTAACCGATCAACGTATCATCAACGTTTTTCTCATATTTCGAATATACACGTCTCCGAGCATATAAGACAATTGACGAAAATATCATTTTTCTAAGATGCAGATACGTATTCCAAATTCACGAAATGTTCTTGTCGACGTCAAATTTTCGTCATAATAACACACGAAATTTGATAGACGAACATCGAATATTTTTGAAAAGTATAAACAACGATTAAAAAAAGCTTCTACATTCGCGCTAATACTCGAAAGAAAGAGATGTTAAGAATTTGGAAAAATTAAACCGAAAAATGATAAACACGAGAGAATCCTTAAGAATTGACGTTGACGTTTCACTTTTATTTACTTTCGCGCGAACGCGATAAAAAACGTATGTCACAATTTCGACACTTATGCTCGCACCCCCGTTCGACGATATTACTAACACTATACGTCGATATATTAACGAAAACAAAAAGCAGTGATCGTCGAATCTCGTTGAACAGAATAAGAAAATTTCGAAAGAAGAGAAGATTTTTCCGGCGGCACAGAATAACAACTCGTCGATCGTCCTTTTCTCGGTTTACGACGAGGAAAAAATGACACGCACTTTGCACTCTAACTTTCCCTCTTTCATTCTCTCTATTTGATATATTTCTTTGGTATTTCTATCTACTTCCTTCTCTTTCTTTCGAAGATTCCTATCAATCACGATCGGCGATCTCGTCACTTAGCTTTTCGACCACGCATAAAGTGTTTTCCTCGAACGTCTTTTCCCTGCACACTCTGCTCCCCATTATTCTCGTAAAGGCACTTGTATACGTCCGATCTTGTTGAATGAAGAAAGGATCAAGTTGTTCGCGATCGCGACGGAACACTGCAAGCTAGTACGCTGACGTACCGGGCATGTCAGAGAGGCTCCGTGAGTAAGGGGATGGAGAGGGGGTGGATCGGTGGTACGTTCGCTCGAAAGAGGGGAAAACCTACTAAATTCGTGCGAAAAAGAAAGAAGGAAAATGAATAAGACGAAGAAGAAGAATAAGATGAAGAAGAAGAAGAAGAAGAAGTAAAAAGAAACAGAGGTAGTTATAACACTGCGGGTAGCGTCGCACGGATTTCCTTTAGCTTGCTTTCGCGCACTAAGAACGATCACAGAAATCAGAAGTAGAAGTAGAAGTAGAAGTAGAAGTAGAAGTAGAAGTAGAAGAGGAAGAAGAAGAAGAAGAAGTTTAAGAAGAAGTTTGAAGATAGTGTTAACGCGCGATAAAATCGTCGTGGAAAGTCGCAGAGTTCGTCGAAGAAGTAGAAGAAAGAATCCAAGAATGTGATCTCTTACTAGAGATCAGTGGGTCCGTGGGTCGACGAAGGTAAATAGTGTCGGTGCATATAAGCGATGTAACTCTCGCGTGGCAGTTCTCTCCTATCAGGGCTTAGAATGGCAAACACCTCTTTCGCGTTCGGTATCAGCCAAGACACTGTTCTTCCTTGGTAAAGACGTTGCCGAAGACGACGACGACGAAGACGAAGACGAGGACGAAGACGAAGACGAAGATGAAGACGAAGATGAAGACGAAGACGGAGACGGAGACGGAGACGGAGACGAAGACGAAGACGACGATAACGACAACGACGACAACGATGACGACGACGACGACGACGACGACGACGACGACGACGATGACGACGACGACGACGACGAAGACGATTACTACGACGGTAACGACGCGATTCCCGACGACGTACGACGACGACGACGGTGGAAAAAGGTCTCTCCTCTTCCGCGTTCGAGTCCTTGACGGAGGAGGAACCGAAACTGACTCAGGTCTGTGGCTCGCGAGAAACGCTAAGTCCTTCTCCGAGTCGGGGGTCGGTGGTGGCGCGCTTCTCAGACCGCGTGCGTCTGACTAAAAGCCACCCCCTCGTGCCTTAAAGAACGCGTGTTCGGGTAGGGGCGTTGTCTTAGGTGGTGCGCGGTCGCGAAATTTCTGGCCGCCTCGTTCGCCTTTGCTCGTCTTTCTTCGCCTCCCTTCGACTCCCTTGTACTCCGTTTCCTCGATAGGAAGGTTGTAGGAGACGGGTCCACGGGGCCTGGGCGAGGGCCCAGGCTACCCTGGACCGTGCTTAAGCCTCGTACGAATCCTTCCGGGTCGAAAATACACCTAGCCGAGAAGGAAAAAGCAGAATACGTCGTAGGACAGGAGTTTTCAAGCCACCCCTCTTTTCCTTTGCCCCCACCAAACGACGTAGGAGCGTGGCGCGCGCTCTGTCTCCCCTTTCCTCAGACCTTTCTCTCCCTTGCCTTTGCCGCCGCCTTTGCCGCCGCCGCCGCCACCGCCACCGCCGCCGCCGACGACGACGCCACCGCCGTCCTCCCCCGCCGCACGCAAACTACCCTTACTCGCCGGGTGGGAGCCGGAGACTCCGTCGACGCCTCAAACGGGGGTAAACGTCGTATAAGGGGTGAGAAAGAGAGTGGGAGATCTCTCCTTTTCTCATTTCTTCTCCTTTCCAGCTCCGTGCCTTCCTTTTCGCCTACTCCACTCGCGCCTATCCTTCTCCCTCTTTCATTTTTCCACTTTCTCTCTCTCTCTCTCTCTCTCTCTCTCTCTTTCTCACCCCCCTCTCTATCGCACTTTCGCACTCTCCATTTATCTATCTATCTATCTATCTATCTATCCATCCGTTTTTCTTCCTTTTTCCGACACTTAGAGTTACTTTCGCAGGAGAAGAAAACTCCTAAGGAGTCCTCCTTTTCTGCTTAGTTTCTCTTTTATATGCTAATTCACGGATGCTGCTTTGACTTACTCCGAGAACTCTCTTAGATACATGTATGTATCTATAGAGATATGTATATATGCATGTGTAGAAAAGGTCTTCTTATATGTCGCGATCTAACTGAAAGTAAGCAACTTCAGGCAACGTGCGAACGTCACGAGGCAAGCTGTTCGACTGACTGAAAAATTGTGTAGGAGCTCTTAGAAAAGGGGGTGTTCGTAATGAAGGTTCGAGGTGGAAATAAAAAGAAGGGAGAGCACCGTATAAAAATGGTCTCCTCCCTCGGTACGCCGCGCCGTGCCCCGTATGGCAAGACGAGCATGACTAATCGTACTGCGGGGGAGTGGGGCGAGCGAGAAGAAGAAAAAATAACCTTTTTTCCCCTTCCAATTGAACACCCTACTCCGTGCCGACCCCCGTGTTCTAGAAAGACTTTTTTTTCATTGGCTCCCTCGTTACACAGACAGGGGAAGAAATATTTTCTTTCAGCGAATCTCATCGGTTGGGAAAAAAAGAAGGTTCGTGTCCAGACGCGAAGTGTTAAGGGACGGACGACGACTTTGTAGGTAGAGTTTAGTCGATGTTCATTTTGTGGTGTAGAGAGAGGGTGGTCGATGGTTACCTATGTCGTCTTACGCGCCCCTCTCCGCGCCCCTCTCCATGACCCTCTCTCTTTACTTTCCTCACCCCCGTTTGCCACCCACCTCTCGCCGTGAGAGTCTCTCCTTGTATTCGTCTAACGTGCGCGGTGGCCTCTTCCCCATCGAGGGAGCTAAACATCCCTTCCACTTCCTACCAAACGTCTCTCCCTTCCACGCGACTATTCCGCTCGGTCTTTCTTTTCTTTCTCTCTCTATCTACTTCTGTTCTACCATCTCTCTGTCTCTCTCATTCTAACTTTTTCTCCCACCGAGCGCTCTCTCTC